CCCTCAAACTTCCTCCCCCCTCCTGGATGCTCATCTGTCCCCTTGTCCTTGGAGACAGTGCCTGTCACAGGGACCTCCATGCAGGTTCCCCATTGCCATCTCGCCTCCTGCCCTTTCCCCCCTCCCTGGCACTGTTGGCACCACCAGGATCCCCCCATTGCACCCTGGCTCCCTGGTGCTGCTGTCACCTTGGAGCCCCCCCAGCCTGGGTTCTGGTGTCCCCTTGCTCTGCTGCTCCCCGTCCCCTGCTCGCAGGGTCCCTCTGCTCCATCAGCCCCCTTCATAAGTGACCCCCTTGCTGTGCCCCGGTGATGCTCTGGGGACTGTCCCTGCTCCACACGCTGCCCTCAGGCGCTCCTCTTCCAGCACCTTCTCCTCCTCCTCCCCTCTCAGGGCTCTGTCCTCCTACATCCCCTTTTGCTGCCCTCACCTTTGCCACACGCTCTGCGCTTGTCCCTTGGGCACCTTCCCTGGTCTCTCCCTCCGTCCTTCCCCTCTCCTCTGAGCCCCACAGTTTGGGGGCTGTCCCTTGTGCTCTCCTGTCCCCATTTCCCCAGGACAGCACCGGCTGCGGGGACGTTCCTGGGAGCGCCAGTGGCTCCACTCGGGTTGGGAGGTCCCCTTCTCCCCTTGGGGTCCCTCAGCGACATCCAAGGGCTGTCTGGGGTCACCTTCTCCTGCCACAGCCAGAGACATCCCGAAAGTAGGGCACCCCCCTGCTCCCTTGGCCGCTCGTCAGCCCTGGCTCTGCCGCCGTGCAGGGGAGAGCTGGAAAAGCACCCGGGCACCAGTGTCCTTGGTGCCCCCGCTCACACTGGGAACTTCTGCTGGAGACCCCGGGTGCTCCTTGGGGAGCTCTGTGTCATTGTGCCACCATCCAGCCAGACCTGGGCATTGCGGGAGCTTGTGGAGAGCTCAGAGCTTCCCCCTGCTCTTCCCAAGCGGTGCCGACACCTGCCTTTCCCAGACACCCTGATCCCTCGTGCTCCATGTGCAACGCTCAAGCGAGTGGTGACATTACCTGGTGCAGCTGTACCCCCAAAAAGGGCAGGGTCTGAGCTGTAAGCCCGGGAGAGTCCCATACGTGCCAGCCCTGTGGGAGACCCTGCTCGTCCCCTGCTCCCAGGAGAAACTCCCTAGGGTGGGAAGAAGCCCCTGCACTCGCCAAGGCTGTGCCCAGGCATCAGGGTCCCCGGCTTTGCCCTCCATGTGGGAGGGCATCCATCGCTTTCCTCCCCGCTGCCCTCCGGCCGGGGTTGTCTGCCGCCTTCCCCGCGCTGGCTCGGACGCAGCAGCGATAAAGGAGCGTTAACGCTGGCGCAGCAGCGAGGGGAAGCCGCGCCGCGCGCCGCCGTGCCATTCTGCACGACCGCAGCTGGGCTATTTACAGGCGCGCACAGATGCTGTGCCAACGTGCCAGGGCTCGGGGCACGGCGGGGATTAATCGGAGGCGCCCTCGGCATCAGGAGCGCCGCTCTTGGGCTCCAAGGCTGCGCAGGGGTTCGGCTACGTAGCAGAGCCTGCGCGTTCGTAGCTTTAAATTAATTTTTGCACATCTCATTAAGGGCAGAGGGCACGGAGGAAGCTGCGAGCCCGCGCCGAGCTGGAGAGGGGCCTCAGCAGAGGCACGCAGCCCAGCAACGTGCTCAATCCACAGACGCACAGCCAGGGCTCGCGCTCGGCCACGTGCCCGTGGGTTGCTCCTAGCCCGTAGCATCAGCGGCTGCTGAGCCAGCCCTGCGCGTTGATGCCCTGGTCTAGGGGAGGTGAGTGGGCACGTACGGGGCGCCGCTGCCCGCATGTTGCCCCTTACCGGGCACCCGTCTTGGTGGCGCCGGCCCCTTGTCCCCCCGGGGCCGCTTTGCACGGAGGGAGGTCACAGTTACATGCAGCGCTGGGGAGGGGGACCTCGCGTCTCTTGTCGTTAATTTTTTCCCGGTGACTGCAAGCAAATTAGCAAGCTGCTAATGAGCTCCCAGGGTGGGCTGCAGTGGGGACGGGAGGAGAGTGTGTGTGGGGCAGGGATCCCGCTCTGCCCAGGAAGAGAGTGTGTGTAGGGCAGGGATCCTGCTGTGCCCGGGAGGACAGGAGGAGAGTGTATGTGGGGCAGGGATCCTGCTCTGCCCAGGAGGAGAGGACATGTGGGACAGGGATCCCGCTGTGCCTGGGAGGACGGTGGCTCTCAGCGTGGCTCTGCCCTGCTCGCTGTGTCGCTTGGCTGCTTGAGGCCACTTTGCTAAAAATCCCATCTTTCACAAGGCGCTTGCCAGCTCTTTATGTTTGAAGCTGTTTGTTTTGAAGGCAGGAAGATGATTTAACAACTAAAACACTCTCAGATTATAGAAAGTGAGGAAATATTGCTGTTGGCTTAAGGCTCTCCCAGCAGCGCTCCACCCAGCGTGAAGCGCGGGGTCCTCGGCTACCGGGGGGCCCCTGCGTCCCCCCTGCACGGGGCCCGTGGCTGAGCTTTGCCTTGGTGCCTGCTTTATCCTCAAACCTCAGCTCTGTTGTGTGCGGCCCCTGCCTGGGTAGAGCCCTGCCCTGCAGCTCTGCAGAGGGCCAGGGCAAAGCCGCAGGGTCCTGCGGAGGTGACACTGCGCAGGGTTGGTGGCAGGGTGACCCGGCTGGGGCTCTGCTGGCAGCGCAGGAGCCTGTTCCCAGACAAGGGGCCGTCTCGCTTCGGTTTTCCATTCGGTCATGCCCTTTGTGGGCTTTCTCACCGGAGAAGCTGCTTTTCCTGCTTGTTGTTTCCATCACAGAGCCGGCCTTCAGCCTCAGGTGATGGGTCCCCTCTCCCTGCCCCTCAGGGTGGCATCTGACCCCTGGAAACCCCCCATGTCCTGTGTCCCCTGTGTGTTTGGGGCTCCTCCCATCCCCCAGACCTGCCCTTCATCCCTTACGGAGGGCAGGGAGGTGCAGCCAAATCTTTCTGTCGTTTGGGCTTTAATTTCCATGGCAGTAGCCATGGTTACAGACTGTTTGTGCAAATAACCAATATTTCCACCCACACCGATTGCTGACCAGTATAGGCCCTGATGCCGAGGAGCCCGAGCCTTCGTGTCCCTGGTAGTCACTTAACTGACCTCAGAGGGCTCAGATTTATCTGTGTGATGCAGAAACTGTGGCAGAGGCGAGGGCGGCCTCCAGTTTTTTCCCCTTTCAGCATTTGAGCAAAAAGTAATTCCCAGAGCAATCCAGTTCCCTGCATGTGCTTGTAGAGTCTGCCTGGCGTGGCTCAAATTCCCCTTAAAATCTGTTTAGGCTCTTTGGGCCTCCGGTTTTCTGCTCAATAATTTGAGACTTAATTAAGGCCTCATGAAGTGGCGAAGCTGCCCTCGTGCAACACTCGCCCTGCACCGATTTCCTTCTGTTTGAGCAGAGCCAGTTGAGAGGCTCTGATGCTGCTGCAGGTGCTTGCAGTAAAGCCCTATTGGCACAACGTTAGTGCTGTGATTTACTTCCCCTCCCTGGCAGTTACAACAGTAAAGCCTAAGGTATAAAGCAGCCTCTGGGACTGTCCTTTAGGCTTGCTGCTAAATGTGCTGTTCATCTGAGGCTGCCTTGGCTTTGCAGCCCAGTGTGAATCACCTGGTGGTAACTCAGGAAAAGACCCCCCATTTCCAAGCGCCCTGCAAGCACCTGAGCTGCTCAGAGCCTGCTCGTGCCGCTCACACCTGTGTGTGGTTGTGAGCAGCTCCCTGGGCTCGTATCAGCGCGGCCCTGGCGCGTGTCACTTGGCAGCCTCCTAAAGCGTTTGAAGGCCCGTGATGAAAGCATCAGCCAGGCAGTGTGTTTCCCTGCAGAGCACATGAATCACGTTTAATAGCAGCGATTACTGATACCCTGTGGAGCGTCAGGTCCTAGTTAAACTCCCACGGCATTTAATACATCCATAAAACAGGGCCGTTCCTTGTCCTCGTTGAGTTACGGTGCGGACACTCTTCACCGTGTTTGGAAAACCCACTCTTGCTTTTGTCCCTCGGTTAGGTGAGAGGATCCTGGGCTACGCGGAGGAGCCCTGTTACCTCTGGTTCGTCATGGAGTTCTGCGAAGGGGGGGACCTCAACCAGTACGTGTTGTCACGAAGGCCGGATCCGGCCACCAACAAGAGCTTCATGCTGCAGCTGACCAGCGCCATCGCCTTCCTGCACAAGAACCACATCGTGCACCGGGACTTGAAACCAGACAACATCCTGATAACCGAGAAATCCGGCACCCCGGTTCTCAAGGTGGCTGACTTTGGACTCAGCAAGGTCTGCGCTGGCCTGACTGCTCGGGGCAAGGATGGGGGGAACAATAACAAAAATGTGAATGTGAACAAGTACTGGCTGTCTTCGGCGTGTGGCTCGGATTTCTACATGGCTCCCGAGGTCTGGGAGGGACACTACACGGCCAAGGCTGACATCTTCGCCCTTGGCATCATCATCTGGGCCATGATTGAGAGGATAACTTTCATCGATGCAGAGACCAAGAAGGAGCTGCTGGGGACCTACATCAAGCAGGGAACAGAGATTGTGCCCGTTGGGGAAGCGCTGCTAGAAAACCCAAAGATGGAGCTGCACATCCCTCAGAAACGCAGGACTTCCATGTCTGAGGGCATCAAGCAACTCTTGAAAGACATGTTGGCTGCTAACCCACAGGATCGACCTGATGCCTTTGAGCTTGAAACCAGAATGGACCAGGTTACGTGTGCTGCTTAAATTCAGGGCAGGGCACTGCTGTGCTTTGCAGCTGGGTAAGTGATCTGCAGTTTTCGTATAACACCGTCTCCTTTACCAGCCCGCTTATGCGTTCCGCAACGATACAAAAGAGTCTTTTATGTTCCCAGAGCAATTTCTGTAGTGACTCATCGGGAGCACTGTTCCTGAGATTTTTACCCACCTTTTCTACTGCAAAAATAAAATAGAGATGGAAAACAGAATTAGCAGCTGCACACCCCACTGCTGCTGAAGCTGGAGCGCAGGCGCGGGCTGGGAGCAGCCCTGCTCCGCAGCAGGGCTGGCCACGGGCTAGCCCAGGGGCCGGGATGCAGAGGAGAAACCCGGAGCATCAGCCCTGGGCTTCTCCTTTGCTCCCGAGGTAGGGAGGGAGCTGCCCGTTCAGTGTCCCCTGCTCCTTTTGGTCAGTGTTGAGAGCACCTCGTTGTCCTGCCTGGTCATTCCTTCTGCTGGGTGCTCCGGCTTTGGCCAAGCGGGGTGGCAGGTGGCTCTCGGTGCAGATGTGGCCGTTTCCTTCCTCTCTCCTAGAAGGAGAATGATGTGTTTCTCTCTGTTTCCCTGCTAAATGCAGGACTTCCTTTTGGTGTGAGCTGCAGTTGCATAAGCCCCAGTCGGATGCTTTGGTCTTCACCCTCCGCATTCGGAGACACGAGTCTGTCCAGGAAGGAAGATTACAAAACAGTCGTGCTCAGATTGTTCCCGGGTCAGGCAGAGTTTCCCCCCCGGGCTCAGTTCCTAAGTAGTCCAAAACTCGGAGACTTCCCCTGCTGAATCCCAGCCCTGAGGCGCAGGGGGTCACGCATGGCCTGGAAGGTCTGCCCAGGGGTAGCTGGCAGCGTGTGTAACCAGTGACACCGTAGGAATGAGAGGTGTTGCCTTCATGGCAAAGCTCTATATAAACATGGGCTGTTACTAGGGATTCTCCTGGCCAAACACTTCAATGAAACTGAATAATTACAGATTACAAGAGGCCAGGCTGCTCGGGGAGCCCCGTGCTCTTGCCCGCCGCGGCGGAGCTGCCTTTCATGCTGCCGATCATAGAAGGTGTTTGGAAAATCTGGCTCCAGCAAATGTTGGATTTACAGCTTGGACTTCCCACTCCTTTCCTGATTCAGAAAGCACAGAGATCCCACTGGATCAAAGTAGATCATAGACACCAGAAAGTGGGGAGAGCTGGCAGGACTGGGGCTGCCCCATGGGAGCCTCTGGCTGTAACGTATGGGCTGGGATGGGGACAGACGGGCACTGTGCAGGGAGGGCTCAAACCTCCTCGGTGCTCCGGGAAGGAAACGTTCCCGGGCTTATGTAAGATGGAGGAGCTGGCCGAGCCCCCTCCGGCCGTGCCGCTCCGGAATGTGCCCAGAGAGCTCCGTGCTGTTCCCAGCACCCTTGGCTGGCCTGCCCGAGCTGTGCTCCCACAGCCCAGCTCTCCAAGGGACAGTAATTCCTGGGGGCTGTTGCCCAGCCCTCCATGTATGCCCATGGCAAGGATCTGCTGTGTCCCCAGTAAAGTACAGCCCGGAGAAACAGGAATATGTCATGGAAATGCCCGTCGGGAGGGTCTAGCCATGGCTGGGTTGTTCAGGAGGGTGCAGGAGCCATCTCCTCCTCGCCACAAACCCAAAATATTCCAACGCCCTTGAGATCTTTGCTGCGAGTAATTGATGTGACTGCTGCTGCCTGGGGCTGGGGCTGGGGATCCTCGGGAGCTGCTCGCATGGGTGTGAGGAAGCCCCGGGGCAGGAGCGGCAGGGAAGGAGCTGGGAGCCGGTTCCCTCTCCGCGTGCGGAGCATCGGCGCCGCCGCCTGCGCTCCCTCGTGCTGGGCTAACGCGCCGCGGCCGCGTTACGTAACGCGGCGCTGCCCTGCGGGGAGAGCTCGTCCTGCGCGCATCCGCGGAACGGTGCGTGCGGGGATAACAGCCGGCGAGGGGACAGTCCTGCCCCGCGGCTGTTTGCGTCCGACCCAGCTGCCTCTGGAGCCCCGCTCCGTCCTCGCGCGGGGCCAGCTGTGCGCGCACCCGGGCACGGCCCCGCTTGCATAACCCCACGCGCCGCTCCATGCAGCGCGGCGGGAAGCGCCGCCGTGTCCTCCGCAGGGCAGGGATGCATTTGCTGCGCTTTCCTATAGGGGCTTTTGCAGCTGCGTGCCTGCGCGTTTGCATCGAGCTGCCTCCTGCTGCTGCCGGGCTGTTGTTCAGTGTAAATCCGTGCTGGCAGCGCGCTTGAGAAGCTTAGAACGGGATTGAGAGCAGCTCCTGGGCTCTCCCGTCGGTAGTTTAGGTTGACCATGAGACTCAGGTGACCCGTCGGGGGTAGTTGTGGCACTTGTGCGTGGCTCATACGGGCGCTGGGCAGCACAGCGGGTTCCCCTTTCCCTGGGGCCCTTTCACACCCAAGGCAGACCTCACGGCACACCCAGCCCTCCCCGAGCTGGCCGTCAGCTTTTCACTAGTTCCTCGGTATGTCACTGCCCCGTTCTCCTTCTGCTTCATGTCCTGACAGTCCTGCTGCAAGAACCTGCCAGTCAGCAGCCTTCATCCTCCGCTGCCTCTCCGAATTGCATTAAATACCCGTTCCCAGGCGGGATGGAGCTCCCGGCCCCGCTCCGCAGAGCGCGGGGGATCGGGCGCAGGCCGGGCTCCTTCCTGCCTCTCTTGTCATCCCAGCCCCGGGGTCCTGCACATTCCCCCCGGGAAGTGGGTCCCCCCTTTCTCTTTGGCACAGCGAGTTCCACATCCTGTGGTTGTCCAGGGTTATCCAGACCTGATTAGCACAAAGGTGCCTTGTGGGCACAGGGGACAAAAGCCATTCCAGGGTAATTAGCAGGCGCTTGGGCTGTGCTGGATACCTGCTGTTAATCTCTTGATTGTTGTGTGATAGCCCAGAGCTGTGGCCAGAACTAAGGGCTATTTCACCCCATATTTTACCAATTCAGGAAAACTTTCCTGAAATCCAAAAGCAGCTGTGGAAAGGGTGGTTTCCGAGCTGGCCCTAGCGCTGTCTCATCGTGCCGGGTAGCACTGCTGTGTCCTGGGTGCAGATCCGCAGCCCTGTGCCTTGCTCGCAGCGAGGCAGGGGCTGCTTTTCTAGCAGTGTCTCCCCCATCTCCCCCCACATCAGGGGAGGATTTTGCAGCCAGTCACCGTCCCCTCCGTTTCGTGCTGCTCACGTCTCCTCGCTACGGGAGCATCTGGCTTCTCCTGTCTTTCTCCAAGTTTCCAAGTATCTGCACATGGAGTTCCCCCGGCAGGCCGGGCTCTTCCCAGGCAGTCGCATTCCAATGGGAGAGTCTCTGCACAGCATGGAGCAAAGGGCTGACAAGCAGAGCACAAAAGGAGCAAGTGGCAGCATCTCCCTGCCGCTCTCCCCTTGCACGCTTAATTCCCAGCCAGTATCGGGTAAAATTAGGAATGATGATAACGAAATTGCTACCAGAGCTTTTGCTAGCACACAGCGCAGATGCCCTGCCTTTTATTTTATTTGTTTATTTTTTTAAGTGTGGACACGTGTCTGATTTAATATTTATGCAAACCTGCAGTGCAGGGGGCAGCTCCTCCTGGCAGCCCACGATGGTTTTTTGCAGTCGATCAAGTGGCCGCTCTGGTTTTGCGCCCGGGTGGCAGCAGCCGGTGTCGGTTCAGACCAGGGAAAGGGCTGCCAGAGGGAGCTGCCTCCTTTGCTCCAGGGCTCCTCTTCCTCCCGCCCTGGGTTCGGAGCACTTTGGCTGCAGCTGGAAGTTCCCGTTTGCATTTGCTTGTGTTTTTGGCAGGCGGCTGAGCTGGTGCTGGGAGGCTCCTGCGCTCCCCGTCGTGACGCGTTTCTCTCTCCCCTCTTAGCCCCCCTGCACGAGGGTGCTGCAGCCTGTGCCCGAGCGCAGCAGTATCCAATTGCTGCTGTGCAATTTGTGGATCTGGAGGGCAGGAATCAGATGCAGCAGGGAAATGTTTCTGACTGCAAGCAGCGAGGGAGCAGGGCTCTTGCCTGGTGCTGTGTCTGTCCGGGCCCCTCCAATCCTTTGGAATAAAGGTGTCCTGACATTGCTAGGCAGGAACATGTGAGCGGCTGAGGGAGAGCCTAGTAGTTTCATTCCTGACTCAATGTTGATCCCCACTTCAGACTGTTTTCACTATGGTTTGTGAGTCTTGGCATGGGCCGAACAAGCCCTGGAACGACATGAAAGCAGGATCCCTTCCTCCCGCTGGCAGCGGGTGCAGCCGGCAGCATCCCCAGGCCTCCGCGCTGAGCGGTGCCGCGTTCCTGCATGCGGATCCCCCCGGAGCAGCGGAGCCCTCTGCGTGACCCGGCTCCTGTCCCCCCCGGCCAGGTGCGTGTCCTTGCTCGCCTGTCACCCCCTGCTGCACCCTGGGGCCGGCTCTGCAACCCTGCAAGGGATGAGACAGGGTTTGTGCTCCCTGCATCCCACGGTGCCTGTCCATGACCGCGGCATCGCTGTCACCTGTATTAGGTGCTGGGGGACTTCACAGGCTGCTGGTTCATATCCTGCTGATGCCAAATGAGCATTCGAGCTGATTAAAACTATAAGTGGCATCAGTGGAGGGATTAAAAGCTCTTGAACAAGCCCCTGAAACAACCTGCGTCAGTGTAGTGAGCTCTCCTGTCTCGGAGGCGAGAGCTTGGGATTGCTCCAGCAAGGAGCTTTCCTGAAGACGCTCCTGCTCCAGGGAGGCATGAGCAGAAACGCTGTCCTACCAGCTAATGAAGCTGCAGCACAGGGGAAATCACCCAGAAAATCTGTTACACCGGCGCCCACGTCCTGGTGCCTCTCACCAGCCTCCCTTGTGGAGCAGAAAGGCCTTTTCTGATCCACGGCCACAAAGGCCGCGTTTCCCGGGCCCAGCACCCTGTGGAACAGCACACGTGGTCCTGGCTTCTGCTCCGAGCAGCAGAGGCAGCCGCTTTCGTGAAAAAAATGTATTAATTGGGCATGTATTTCTTTAATGAGATTTCCTAGGGCTAAGGGATTTGAATAATTTGCTGGGCAGGAGCAGTTTTTCTCCAGCCGGTCTTTCCTGCTGCTCAGGTGCTGTCGCTTGGTCTCTCTGAAGAGCCACTTGTCCCCCTGAGCTTCTGTGGAGCAGAGCGTCCCCCTCGTGCTGTTTGAGAGGTTCGCCCACGGCTGGCGCATGTCACGGGGCCCACGAGAAGGGCCGTTGCACGCACACGTTGTTCCTCCGCCGGTTCCTTTGGCGGCTGAACGGTATCGACGGGGAATGTGTCTGGTTTCGCAAGGAGCAAGGACAGGGCCGCGGGTGACTCATGCGCGGGGCGTTAGGTGGAGTCGAGCAGCGCTGAAGGAGCCGCAAGGACACGGAGGAGCCCGGGGCCGGCGGGGCAGCTCCGTGCCCTGAACACCCTCCTGCTGAGCATCCTCGTGGCCGTGAGTGCCGCGCTCGGAGCCGGCTCTGCCGCACCAAAATAGATCCTCGCCGGCGTCTCGCGCAGCCACTCGAGGGGCCCGGACTGACGCACGGGCGGCCGAGTCTGCGCGGCCCCGTTAGCGCAGGCGCTGGAAGGGCTCCCGGCCTCGTCCCGGGCTCTGTCGTGGTCAATGTTCATCCGCAAACCCCAGGACGGAGCTGATGGAAACGCAGCGCCGTGTGTAGCCGGGAGCCCGGCCCGGCTCGAGTGCCGAGCAGCTGGTGCGGGTTTGCCCTGGCTACCTGCTCCTTGTCAAAACCAAGTCCCTTTCTCACGATGTGATTCCAAAGGGAGTCCAGACTCACCACGGACAGGCCTGGCTTGTCTCTGGCTCCCTTGGGCTCGGGCTGGGCCCTTTCTCCACAGCCGTGTCCTGCGGTGCTTCCATGGGGTGCGTGAGCGGCTCCGTGACGCTCCCCTCACCCTCTGCTCCATGCAGTTGTTCACGGGTGTTACTTAAAAGTCGTTGGCTTTAATCATGTAACCAGAAAGCACCCCTTCATCTCGAGTTTTTCTGGTCCCTCAAACACTGCGTTAATTAAGGGTTGGAAATGAAAAATGGAGACGCAGCAAACACAGTTTATACGTGCTTCAGCTCTACCTGCCTGCAGCCCGGGGTGAGACAGGGCGGTCTGCTGGGGCACTGCCTTCTCCCCAGTCATGACTTAGTGACTGGAACAAAACTACCTGTATGACTGATACCTGCTTCTTTGTTTTTGGTTCTTTTTGCAGGTTTATTTACCAGGGACTCATAATCTCCATTATTTTGTGCAACTAAGGAAGCTGAAGACAAGGGAAGAAGGTGATACAGAAGACTCCTGGCCTGCAGGATCTTTGGCAATGTGAAATCTCTGGGTGTTGTTTTGCTGGGAAGAGGGGTTTGGGATTGTGGGCAGGGGCAGCCGGAGGCTTCAGGAGGGTGCGAGTCGGGTTCGTGCCACCATCCTGGACCAAGACCTGCTGCTGCCCGGCCATCCCGGCGCCCCTGTGCTGCGGCTGCGCTCGGGAGACGTTTCTAGGGAAGACGGATCCCGTAACCGTGATCCCATAACCATGATCCCATAACCATGATCACTGTGTTGCTGGCCCTGTGTCCGAGCCCAGCTGGGCACAGCTTTGGGCTTAAAACTGTTGCTTCTCTGGGGGAAAAGGGGCACGAGGTGATTGCGCTGGGAGTGCAGGGCTGTAGCAGGAGAGAGGCTCAGAGGCGGCTGCTGCTGCAGTTAATGATTTCACAGCCAGGTAACTTCCCACCAGGCAAATGCTGCTTGGGATATAAGCAGTTGGCATTAGGCTAGAGCAGTAGGAACAGTCTGGAAAGCCTTTCTGCAAGACAGCTCTGCCCCGGGCTGGACAGCCCCTTAATCTCCCTGCTCTTCCTTAGTGACACTCGTTATGGACAGCCCTGCCATGCAGAGGGCAGTGGGAGCCGGTAGGAGCGTTTTGGGCAGATCCTGTCTCCTACAAGGAGAATGGATCACTATCCACCCATCCGAGCCCGCTCGTGCCGACCTGCGGCCGTTGGGAAGGGCACTAAGGAGAGGAGGAGGCCAGGCCCGAGCAGTGCCCAGGCTGGAGTGCCCTGCAAAACCCTTCTCCTTGCTCATCCAGGAAGCAAAAGCAGCACGAGGTCGCAGCTCAGCGGGCCGCTCGGGTAAGGAGATTGGGACCTCGGGCTGAGCAGTTAATACGTGTTTCCTTCCTATCTTTAGAGCAACACTGATATTCTGGGGCTGACCCCGGGTGATGTCTTTAGGCTTAGGTCACTGTAAATACAGTGTAAAGCACCTCTTTATCCCGCAGGTTCTGAACAGGCTGAAATATTTCCCGCCGGGTCAAACCCACTGGCACCGATGTAGGAGATGGGCTGTTCTGACCCAGCTTTACCTGCAAGCCCCGAGGTGTTCAGTGCTTACAGGGGCTGGCCAAGCTCATGGGCAGCAGAAGGGTCCCTGTCTCCCACTTCTGGCAGTAGGAACCATCCCTGGCCTGTGCTCGGGCTCTGGCTTCCCGCTTGTCATCCCTGAAAGACTCCTAAACCAACAGCACCTCCTTTATGTACTCGAGTACCTTTACTGGCCCCATGGGAGTGAATGGAAGTGCAGGGAGTGTCGGGCTGAGGCGGGGGGTCTGCAGGTGGTTTGGCTGGCCTGGTTTCTCTCCCAGGAGCAGTAGATCCCTGGAGCGACCCCGCTATGGAGCCCCGGGCGGGTTTCTCATCGCAGAGCCCTGCGCATCCATCGCAGAGCCCTGGGCATCCCTGGGAGGCTGCAGTGGAGGGAGGACTTGGCCCCTTTTCCAAGTCCAGCGTTAGCACCCAACGTGCCGCCCCGTTGTTCCTCCGCGTGGCAGAGCCTTTGCTGCCGGCTCTCCGAGCTCTCCCGGCTGGAGCGGGCGGAGGAGCAGCGGGAAGGACCCTGCACGGAGCGTCGCACGCGGAGAAGGAGCTTCCCGGCAGCAGGGCGGAGGGGCCGCGTTGCAGCACGTGCAGGAGGAAGGCGAATGCCGGGAGGCCTGGAGCCCGCGGCCACCCTAGGGTCACCCCCTGAGCTCCTTCCAAGCCATCGTCCCCTCGGCTCTGTGCGGTTGTGTTTTCAAAGCAGCTTGATTTAGGGAGCTAGACCGTAGTGCCTTACTTAGGATTTAGCGAGTGCTCCCAGGGCAGAGCCCAGGGCTGCTGCCCTTGGGTGACGTGAACGTCCCCACGTTGAGTTTGTCCCTGTGAACGCGTTTCCCCCGATGACTTTGCTGCTGTCTGCACCCGACTCCCCAGTCTCCTAAGGAAGCTGCCTAGTGTTTACAAGCTCCCAGTATCCCTTCCAGGCCCGGAGCAGCGCTCCCTCCGGAACAAGGTGGCGGTGGGACGGGCTCCGCGCGCGCGGCAAAGCGAGAGCTGCCCCGGCCTCGCTCCCGGGCTGGCTCTGCTTCTCCCGCCGTGCAGGGCATTGGGATGTGCAGCTGGGAAAGCTCGGCTGAAGGGAAGCAGCCCCAAGCCTGGGGGCAGCCCGGCCGCGGCACCGCATCGGAGCATCCCTTGGGCCCGCGAACCTGTTTACTTCTGACGTTGCTGTTTACAAGAGGGCCGTGGGGCGGGAGGGGGCCCGGCCCGCGGGCACCGCGGGGTCCCGGCCGGCCTCGCTCCCCCGGAGGAGAGAGCGGAGGTGGCCGCAGCCCCGGGGGTGGATTAGCTGCCCCTCGTGCCCTTGCTGCTGTGTTTGAGGTCCGGCGGCGCTCGTGCCACGTAGTTCCCCGTGCTCTCCCTCACATATCAGAGGCTCCCGGAGCCTTCCTGGAGCAATAAGACTCCGAACGAGCGCCGCCACCGTTGTGGAGTTCCCCTCGTGCACGTCCTGTGTCTCCTCGTACACGGTACCGAGTCTGGGTTTAAGCCTGCTGAGCACCGCGGGGCGGCCGGGCACGAACAGGGTCCCGTGTCCCCTTGGGCTTGTCCCGTGTCCCCAGAGCAGGGGGCACCTCGCTGCTTCCTCACGTTTCCCCTCTTCACGGCAAACGGACCTTTCCAAGAGCATTCCGGAGCCGGGGCGGTGGGGACGCCTGGCCGGGAAACGCTGCGAGCTGCTCCCTTCCCACCGCAACCTGCCAAAGCCCATTCCCTGCCATTCAAAGCAAATTTTTTTTTTCTTTTTTTTTTTTCTTTTTTTTTTTTTTTTTTTCCCCAAAACACTTTTTTTTTTTTTTTTTTTTTTTTTGCACAGAAGCTGGTAATCTAGGACCTATGTGTGAACAACTTTATATAATATTTTTTGTACTTGGTTTACTCGGGTTGGTATGAGACGTTCTATTTAAGTTCCTTGAACACTGTGGATACCCCCATGCGTGCGAATGGCAGAGGCTTTGTAAGTTAAGAGACGTTTGTGTGAATAAAGCTATTTGAGGTGGGGTTCAGAAGCCGCATTCGGCCTGTGAGGCTCCTGCGTCTGCTCTCCCGCGCGCCCGGCCTCGCTCCCGGGCTGCAGTTCCCGGGGGTGCTCCCGGAGCGTCCTGCTGCGTCGGATGCAGCGTCCGCTCCTGCTGCAGGGAGCAAACGGGCACCGTGGGGACACCGGCGTCGGTGCCACCTAAGTAGGGAAGCCCCCATCCGCGGGGCTGCTCCTGCCCCGTGGGGGCACATGGAGCCCCAGGAGGAGCCAGGGGACAGCGGAAGCACCTGGTCCTGTCCCCAGGGGACAAACCCGGTCCTGCTGCGG